GAGAAGAAACACCTTTCTAGCATCAGGAATTAAAGGATGCATCACAACAGCTCCTCCAGACATAAAAAGAATAGGAAGCAGTAATTTTTAAAATGATAACTCTATGCCAATAAAGTCAGCAGCTTAGAATAAATGGACACACGTCTTGTAAGGAATTCAAGGTTGTTTTAACACTCAAAAATCAATCAAGCCAAGCATGGTAACTCACACCTATTATCCCAGCACTTTGGGAGATCAAGGTGGGGAGATTGCTTGAGTTCAGGAGTTTGAGACCAGCCTGGGAAACATGGCAAAACTCCATCTCTATAAAAAATTTAAAAATTAGCCAAGCACGGTGGGTAGCATGCACCTGCAGCCCCAGCTCCTCTGGAGGCTGATGTAGGAGGATCACCTGAGTCAGGAAGGCCAAGGCTGCAGTGAGCCATGATTGCACCACTGTACTTCCAGCCTGGGTAACGGAGTGAGGCTCTGTTCCCCTCTTCCAAAAAAATCAGTGTTATTAGCTATGTTACAAAATTAAGGAAGAAAATCATATGAGCATCACCATAGATGCAGAAAGTACTTGACAAAATTCAACACCCACTCACGATTTAAAAAAAAAAAAAAATCCTCTCACCTAACTAGGAGTAGAGAAGTGCCTCAACCTGATAAGTTTATGAAAACACATAAAAATATAAAAAGACTTACAGCTAATGTCATATTTAATAGCAAAAGACTGAATGCTTTCCCATAAATTTAGAGTAAGGACAGTATGTCCATCCACACCACTTTCAACACCGTACTTGAGGTACTAGCCTGTGTAACAAAAAGAAATATAAAGGCATACAGATGAGAAAGGAAGAAGTAAAACTGTCTTTATTCACAAATGATGTGATTGTGTATGGAAAAATTTATAAGGAATGAACAAAAAAGATGCTAGAGTTAAGTGAATTTAATGCAGTCAGAAAACAAAAGGTCGGAGAGAGATCCAAGATGGCTGATCACTAGCAGATCGGGATTGTAGCTCCCAGTGAAAGCTCAAAGAACAAGAGGACACCACACCTTCACATGAATTCTTGTTGCTTACGCACCAGGAGATTCCCAGCAGAGGAGCCCCACGGGTCGCCAGTGCGACTCTTGTGACCGGCGAGACGGTTTTGCCGGCGCCTCGGAGCATCGGTTCTTGGCGCAGAGTCAGAAAAGCACCATCAATCTTAACGCCGCTGATTTAGTCGGCGCAGTGGGTTGCTCAGATTTTGGCACTGAGAATCAATAAGTTGGACGTCCACTCGGAAACCCAATTACAAAGACAGTAATTATAAAGACTACAGATGGATAAATCTACAATGAAGGGAAGAAAACAGCCAAAAAAGGCCGAGAATACCCAAGATGAGAACGCCTCTCCCTCAGCAGGGGGATCACAGTTCCTCATCAGCAACGAAACAAGGCTTGATGGAGAACGAGTGTGTTCCAATTACAGAAGCAGGCTTCAAAATGTGGATAATGAGAAACTTCTGTGAATTAAAATAACTTGTTCTAATCCAATCCAAAGAAACTAAGAACTTTGAAAAAAGGTTTGACGAAATGTTAACAAGAATACACAATTTAGAGAGGAAAATAAGTGAATTGATGGAGCTGAAAAACACAATACGAGAACTACGTGAAGCATGTACAAATTTTTACAGCCGAACTGATCAAGCAGAAGAAAGGATATCAGAGGTCGAAGACCAATTCAATGAAATAAAACAAGACAAGATTAGAGAAAAAAGGATAAAAAGGAATGAGCAAAGAAACATAGGACTATGTGAAAAGACCTAATCTACACTTGATAGGTGTACCTGAAAGTGACGAAGAGAACGAATCCAAGCTGGAAAATACGCTTCAGGATATTATTCAGGAAAATTTTTCCCAACCTAGTAAGGCAGGATAATATTCAACTCCAGGTAATACAGAGAACACCACAAAGATATTCCTCAAGAAGAGCAACTCCAAGGCACATAATCGTCAGATTCACCAGGGTTGAAATGAAGGAGAAAATACTAAGGCAGCCTGGGAGAAAGGTCAGGTTATCCACAAAGGGAAGCCTATCAGACTTAAAGCAGATCTCTCAGCAGAAACCCTACAAGCCAGAAGAGAGTGGGGACCAATATTCAACATCCTTAAAGAAAAGAACTTTCAACCAAGAATTTCACATCCAGCCAAACTAAGCTTCATAAGTGAAGGAAAAATAAAGTTTTTTGTGAACAAGCAAACACTCAAGAGATTTCATCACCACCAAGCCTGCTTTACAAGAACTTCTGAAAGAACCACTACACATAGAAAGGAACAAACAGTATCAGCCTTTCTAAAAAATACCAACAAGTAAAGAGCATCAATATAATGAAGAATTTACATCAACTAATGGGCAAAATAGCCAGCTAATATTAAATGGCAGTATTAAACTCACATATATCATTATTAATTCTAAATTTAAATTGACTAAATCCCCCAATCCAAAGACAGACAGGCAATTTGGATAAGAAACTAAAACCCATCAGTATGCTGCATCCAGACCCATCTCACGTTCAAGGATACACAAAGACTTAAAACAAGGGATGGAGAAAGATTTACCAACCAAACAGAGAGCTAAAATAAATAAATAAAAAGCAGAAGTTACAATTTTTGCCTCTGATAAAGTAGTCGTTAAAGGAACAAAGATCAAAAGAAGCAAAGAGGGACATTATATAATGATAAAAGGATCAATGCAACAACAAGAAGAGCTAAAGATGCTAAATATATATGCACCCAAAACAGGAATACCCAGACATACAAGACTAATAAAGAAACTTAGACTCCCACACAGTAATAGTGGGAGACTTCAATATTAATATTAGACAGATCAATGAGACAGAAAATTAACAATGATATCCAGGACTTGAACTCAGATCTGGAACAAGTAAACGTAATTAACATTTATAGATCTCTCCACTTTAAATACACAAAATATACACTCTTATCAGTACCACATTATATCAACTTAGAAGTTTAAAGGAAATGTTGGTTGGCTCCTTGTTTGTTATTCTCTTCCCTCATTTTCTTTTATGTCTCCATTATTAAGGACAATTATAGGCATACCCATATTTAGACTGCATTCTAGCCCAGGCAATAAAGCAATACCCCCATTCTCTCTCCCTCTTCCTCTTTCTCTTTCTTCCTCTTCTTTATTCTTTTTCTTATTATTCTGTTTTTCTTTCTCAAAGAAAAAAAAAGGTCAATATAAGTTATATTTCTTTCTGCAAGGTTTGTGCAATGAAAATCAATGCTGCTGAAAGAAATAAAGATAAAGAAGTATATCACATTCACACATTGAAGACTCAATATTGTTAAGATGTCAATTCTCCCAAATTGATCTCTAGATTCAATACAATTCTAATAAACATCCCAGCAGGCTTTTGGTAGAAACTGACAACCTAATTTTAAATTATATATAGAAATGAATTTAAAATGCAAACATCCTAAAAGAACCAAAGAAAAACAAAGATGGAGGACTTACAATGCCTGACTTCAAGACTTACTACAAAGCCACAGTAATTAAGATAGTATGGTACTGGCATAAGGCTAGACATATATGAGTCTAACATATAAGCATTTTAAAATATTGTACCTTAAGGTATTTAGTGCAATAGGGGTTATTCTATCATTGGTCAAGAGCTTGACAGTTTACACATTATTTAGGTTAATGATCTTTCTTGTCCTCTATTTTCAAGTTGATTTATCTTGGAAAGCTAAAAAGCAGTAAACTTAGGCCTAAAAAAATGGTTTTAGTGGGTAGTAGTTTTGGTGAAAAAGTTTCTAAGATCAATGGAATAGAAGAGTCCAGAAATAGACTACAGATGGCTAGCTGAGATCATATTGACTGAGATGGGGATAAATTTATCAGATAATGAAAATGTGCAGTATCAACTGCAGTAGTTACACAGCATACACATTTGTCAAAATTCATGAATACTTTTATACTTCAATGTGTAATTTAAATGGATATATTTTATCGTATGTAAATTATACCCAAATAAAGACAATGTTAAAATATATTTTAAAACAATCTCCAAAACTTACCTTGGTTTTTAATGTGAATCTTGGCTGGAAGAAAACATTTATTAAGGACTCATCATGTGCCAGACAGTGAGTTCTGCACACTTAATTCTCACAAACATTTTCTAAAGTAGTAATTACTCACCAGAATTTTAAGAGTGAAGCCCAGGGGTATCTCTAAAGCCCATGTCGCCATCACGGCTATCCTCTTATTATGTTTTCTCTACAGAAGCTTTTTCACCAAAGCTACTAACCACTAAAACTGATTTCTTAGGCCTAAGTTGACTGTTTTTTAACTTTCCAAGATAAATCAACTTGAAAACAGAGGACAAGAAAGATCATGAACCTAAATAACCTGTAAAATGCATGTCTAGCTCCTCAACAATGATAGGGTAACCTCTATGCACTAAATATCTCAAGGTACAATATGTTTAAATGTTTATATCCTAGACTCATAAAGAGAAGTACAAACAAATTCCAACATGAGTCTTCCTAGCATCACATAGCAGTTAAGTTATAAAACTGTCTGTAAGAAAGTCAGTGGGAGAATTCTCCCACTGGGGAAATATTGTTACAGATTTTTAAACTCTGAAATTCTATAACAAGTGCTACTTGGTGGAACCACCTATGTGTTATCCTGTTAAAAACAAAAATTCTGAAAGTTAACATCAAAAACCACTTGGCAAATAAAGAACCACTTATTGTGACCAAAAATTTCATCGCCATAAAAGGCATAAAAATATCCAAGGGGAAGATGGTAGAAAATATAGAAGCCTTGCAAAAACCTTCAATGTTCAAGAGGAAGGCAGTGAAAAAGACCTTCTAAAAACTACAAGATAGAAGAGCTAAAGGTGAAACATAAATATGTGTATGTATCTTTTGGTGTTAAATTAACACTACCTCATGTAAAAATCACAATTTACCAATTCACAGGAAAAAAACATACTTACAGTTATGTGAACACTGAGGAATTATCATTGCAATGTTGAAATATTCAAAGCAAATTCCACATCGCAGCAAATCATCTATTGTCTGAAATGCAAATATGCATATATACATATCAGAAAGACATCAAAATTGGAAGTCTGTCACAAAACTTTTTCTCCATCCCCTAAAAAACATTCAAATTCTTTGCCAAATACACAAATTCAAAAGCTAACTCCAGATAAACTACAAGGGATCTTGACAAATAAACAAAAACTTCTCTCATATGACTCTTACACATTCAGTCTCAGGTTGCCCAAATTGCTTTAGACAGCTAAAGATGATGGTGCACCGATTCTTGTGCCATACTGTCATCCCTTCACATAAGGGCTACTGTACTTCTGTTCCACTTCCAAGTGCTTCCAGCTCTCACTCCAAGCCTCCTCCTCTTCGGACTCCAACACCTAGCCTACAGTCACTGTTGGATGAAAAGTAGTCAATGCCACCACACAGATTAAGAATCAAATCAAAGAATGTTAAAGCCAAACACTAGAAACTGTCTAGTTAAAACCCAACACTAGAAACTGTCTAGTTAAAACCCTTACTTCACTAAAGAGGAAACTGGTATCAAGAGCAGGCACACAACAATAGGCATTAGTCAAGTCAAGACCCAAATTCCTGTCTCCCTTCTGGCAGACCAGTGCTTTCTTCAATGGAGCCAAATGAAAAGAGGTGGACCCAGTGAAAGCAGAGGAAGGGGAAGCAGACAACTTGAAGAGGTAGATGTGCCAACCTGAAATGCAATCCAAACAGGAAAGGAACTATTCTTGCAACCCAGAATCCTCAAGCTGGTTAAAATAAAATATTATTCCATTCAATATAAATATTTTTTAAAAGGAGGAAGCTCTGAGCGGGTGGATCGCTTGAGTCCAGGAGGCGGAGGTTACAGTGGGCCCACATCATTACAATGAGCCCACATTGCAACACTGTATTCCCGACAGATCAAAGGCTATCTCAAAAAAAAAAAAAAAAATGGAGGAAGCTCTGCTTTGCACTGGTATGAAAAGATTGCCAACATAAGTGAAAAAAGGAAATAAGGTACTGACAGCACATATGCCATGCTACTGTTTGTTTAAAAGGGAAGGGTGAATAAGAATGTATTCTAATAAGCCTAGCGTGGTGGCTCTTGCCTGTAATACTAGCACTTTGGGAGGCCACGGCAGGAGAATTGCTTGAATCCAGGAATTCGAGACCAGCCTGAGCAAAATAGCAAAAATCCATGTCTATAAAAAATGTAAAAATTAGTTGGGCGTGACAGTGCATGCCTGTAGTCCCGGCTACTCAGGAGGCTAAGGCAGAAGGATCACTTTAGTCCAGGAGTTCAAGGCAGCAAGCAGCCTGGGTGACGGTGAGACCCTATCTCAAAAAAAAAAAAAAAAGTATCTATTTTCATCAGAAATATAAAGAAATTATGAGAAGATAATAACAAATAATGATCAGGGCCAGAAACACGGTAAGGAGACTTTTACTTTTCACTTTATGTGTATCCTGAACCCAGTGAACCTATTACCTGAATTTTAAAAATTTAAACAAAAAAAAGACTAATGTTGCCAACAGTCCATATGGTGAAATATTATGCAACCATTAAAAAATGCTTTCAAAGAATAATTAATGCCATAGGAAAATAAAAATCAGAAAATAAATCTATGCCAATATACATAATAATGGCAACTCTGTAGTTTAATCTTCATGGCAATCTTATGAAGTCTACAACATCAGTACCCCAATTTTAAAAACAAAGCCTACAGAGTTCCTAAGTTGGCTGGATCAAACCAAAGAAGTTGACTCCATAAAGATCCCAAATTTTAAATGCATAAAAACCAAAGGAAAATAAGGTAAAATATTAAACACTGGTTCTCTGGGTGGTAGGATTACGGATGATTTTCTTTTTCGCCTTTATCTTACTCTGAATTTTAGTTTTTTTTCTACTGTGTATATCTATTACATTTACAATATGCCAAAAACAGTAAATTTTTGCTAAAATAAAACCAGGGAAATAATAAAATGCCAAAATCTTCCATTATTGTGGATGGTAAGCTGTCACAGACACAAAAATCTAGAGGGTTAATGTTCAAGATCAATTAAGAGCAGAGGCAGGCCCAGAAGCTGGAACCCGTCTATCATACCACTCTTTCTTATCTATGCCATCCTCTTCGGTGGAGTAATGATTCTGAAAGAACTGCAGAGCACAATTTGTGGAAGTTGACACTATATGAGCTATTTCTGGTTCAAATTTCTGGTCATGTCTCTCCAAGACAGTAACATGCATATCACATGTACCTCAACCAACCAAACAAAAAACGATGCCTGAATAGAGAGTGATCAGCAGACACCCCAAAATGTCTTTAGTTTAGAGAGAGAGAAAGTGAAAGGGAGAAGCAGAAAATGGGTGGAAAAACATAATTACAAAAATACTATTAAGTTTTTGGGGTTACAGATCCCTTTGAAAATTAGATGAAAACTATGGACTCTATTCTCAGAAAAACATATATACGAAAATTTTACAAATAACTTGAGACTCCAAAGTCTTTCTATGGATCCTAAGTCAGGAACCATGCATTCTGAGTCAGACTTCTATTAGAAGTAATTTTAGTCAGATGCACTTCTGGGATCTGATAGTTCTTTGTCCCTGGAAGAGTTCAAGCAAAAATTAGGTGAGAAATTGCCAGGTATGTTATAAAAGAGTTTAAAATACTGAAGGAGGCTGGTTTTCAAACCTTAAGATTCTATGATTCTAATGTGAGAAAAAAATATGGGCTCAATCGACTCGCTGGTTGAACAATCACTGAACACTCTGTGGTACCAAACTCTGTATTCAGTGCTGTGGTGAGATACCAAAGTCAGAGAAGACATGGAACCTGCCTCTAAAGAACACTGAAATTGTGGGAATATGTAAAATATGCTTAAATCTACAAAGCAGGAGCTTTACAGGTTAGAGTTCTTTCACTTTCCTTATCCAAGTCAAGCTTCATGACAACAAATTAAAAGGGGAGAGAAGCACTTAGCACAGTGCTAATAATAATATTAAAATATATTCATTGAATGCTTACTACATTCCAGATACTTTCAATCAAGCAGCAAATAATACTTGAGCACCCACTTTCTGTCAGGCACTGCATTAAGCACGATGAATAAGCCTGCAGAATCTGCACCCATATACATGAACTCATTTATTTAATCAACCCTATGAACTGTTTATTTTTGTCTCTCATTTATAGTTGAAGAAATTCAGGCTCAGAGAGGTTAAGTTACTAACTGAAGGTCACACAGCTAAGAGGCAGAGACGAGATTTCACCCAGGACCATTAGAATTCAAATCTGTGCTCTTTTCCAGGGCATCTTGGTGCCAAGCCCATCACAACTTTGAAACTACTGCTTTCCTGGATCCTTTCACAATGTCAGCTTCTCGTCACGCAGATATCTCAAGTCCCCAAGACCTCTAGATATCACGGGTGACAGCAGGAAGAACAAGGCCTTATACTTATTTTAGCCTTCACTTAATTCTAAAGACAACTTCATGAGCCAGTGGGAGAGATACTATAATCCCCAAGACTACAAAACTGAGGAAGAGAAAAAGGCTATCTTAGCCACTGTCAGAAACAAAAATCATCACAGAGCAAAAAGAAACACCAAGCAACTGACTTTTAGCCAGCACGGCAAAGTGCATCTGCTCTTGAGCAAATCCAGGGCCCACCACTACTGTAAATGGAAACTGGTTTGCCCTGCCGAAACAGAAAGGCTACAAAAATAAGTGTTATTTAACTGAAATAATTCGATGCAATGAAAGATTACAGCTGAGCCTTGATCTCTGTTTAAAAGACAGAGAGATGAGCAATTGTTAGAGAAGAGAGGACGTGTGAGGGAGGCACTGGGGCAGTATGTCGGTACAAACCAGCACTAGGTTTATTGAGAATAATCAGAAGAGCCTGTAAAGGAGACTACCTGCTTGGCTACGTGATCACATACATGTTATTTGATAAAGTGTCCACCCAAAATCATGTCCGGTGTCACTGTTTAGTGCTTGACACAAAGTAGGCTTTCAGTGAAGGTGAGCTGACGATGTCATTGTTTAGAACAACTGTTTTTCTCGATGTTATCGTTCGGATTGGATCGCAGAATATCTGGTTCCATAAGACTGTTAACCTCAGCTCACCAGGCTTTTCCTTGTCACTTGTCAAAGGAGTAAACTGAGACCCAGAGCCACGCGGTCGGCTAGTGACAGAGCAAAGCCGGGTACTACGGCCCAGTGCGACGCTCGCGCCTCATCCTTTCTCCTCAAGGCGAGGACATCCTCCTCAAAGGGAGGGACCGCCCCCCGCAGGCACCCGGGAGCCCCCAACCTCCCCGAAGCACTCACCTTCATAACTGCCAGGCCCGGAGGCCACCGAGGCTCGGTTAGGGAGTCCATAGTCGCTCCTGAAGATGCTGGAGTCTGCCACCCAACTAGCCTCCGGCGCTCCAATAACCACTCGAAATTCCCCGCGCTATCGCATTACGTCACAACCCGCGACGCGCCTGAAGCAGGCGCGGAGCCTGCCGGAAGTTGTAGTAGGATGTGGGCGGGGCGCCGCTGACGGTGCTTGTACTGCGCCTGCGCTGGGCTATATCCTCTGCTTTCTCGACCCTATCGTAGCACTTGGGAGGTAGGTGTTGTCGTTGTCCGTTTACACAAGAGGAAACTACGTCCGAAAAACTGGATAGAGTTTCGAGTCAGATTCGAAACAGGACCTCTGGGCTTTAAATGGGAGCTCTTGCTTTTATTCATATTAAAATGTTAATGTACAGTTTTTCTTTTTCTTCAGAGAGAAAGCACCGTTAACTTTGGCAATTAGCCTTCCAGATACTTCCTATGCAAATTGGCAAAGATTCTTGGCTTGACCAAACTTTAGTCAGGCTCCTGAACCTTCTCCTAGGCCAATCTGTGTACCTCCTGATAACATCCAGTTTTAGCAAAAAAACTCTGCTAAATCAAGTTAGCAATATTCCCACCCTTGAATCCTTACCCTTGATATTCCCACCAAGTTAGCAAGAATCTAGGAAGGGGCATTTTGGAATCCATATAGGCTCATGGCAAAATCCGAATATCCCACAATAAAAACTAGAAACAAGCTATCTGTGAAGATGCTTTGAGATGTGTGGATTCATCTCACAGTTGAAACCTTTGTTTTGATTCAGCAAGGTTGGAAACACTCTTTTTGTAGAATCTAGGAAGGGGCATTTTGGAGCCCATTGAGGCTTATGATGAAAAACATGCCCCACGTGGTCCATGCACTGATTCATTTCACATATATTTTCTGAATGCTTACAACAGGCCAGGCACTCCAGCTTTCTTGGGAAGCAGGCAGAGATTAGATTGTTATGGTTATCTTACAGACGAGGACACTGAGGCTCAAAGAGCTTAAGACTTCACTCCTCTGAGCTCTCTTCATAAGAACCATCTGGCTTCTAAGCCAAAGCTGTATTCAATTGATTTTTCCCAGCTTGCACCCAAATACTTATTGGGCAATAATATTAATACTAATAGCATTTAGAGAAAGGACTTTAGTATCCGTATGGGATACTAAAGTATCCAGTAATAGCTGGCATTTATTAGGCATATGTATGCAAAGCACCATTCTAAGTTTTTTACACATATGCACTTATTTGACTTACTCACAGGGCACCCTGCTGGTAGTGGAAGATGAAAGATTTGAACTCAGACAGTCTGGCTCGAGAGTCCATATTAACCACTACAGAATATTCTCATGAGGCCTTCATCATGAGAACTGAGTCTTAGAGAGGTAAAGGAACTCATATAAACCAGTTTGTCACTGGCATTATCCAGGATGGAACCTAGGTCTTTTAACCTCAGACCAGAAGAAATCACCCACTGATACTTTTTTGAGAAACAGTTATGCAAGCCAAGTCAAGGGGCAGAGCCAGGTCTGAGAATCTCAGGTTGTTAGACCTAGTGGGACTCCCAAAAGGAAGATGAGGAATAGAGGTTTACGGTGCCAACCCCCATCCCCACACTTTGTATCAGCCAATCATAGAACGGCATTCAAATGCATGCCAGGCTGAGCTGGACGAAGTTGCATAGTTCTGGATGCAGGGGGAGTAGGGTCTTGGAGAGATAAGGGAAAAGTATCTCAGACCAGGTCCGTGGCCTGAGTGAACCAGTAATTGTTTTTTCAGAATACTAGTCGGACAAGGTAATTAGATTTTTCTTTTCCTTTCTTTTTTTTTTTTTTTTTTTTGAGACAATCTCACGCTGTTGCCCAGGCTGTAGTGCAGTGGCGCGATCTCAGCTCACTGCAACCTCCGCCTCCTCGGTTCAGGCAATTCTCCTGCCTCAGCCTCCCGAATAGCTGGGACTACAGGCATGTGCCACCACACCCAGCTATTTTTTTTGTATTTTTAGTACAGACGGGGTTTCACCATGTTGGCCAGGATGATCTCCATCTCCTGGCCTCATAATCCGCCGGCCACGGCCTCCCAAAGTGCTGGAATCCCACCGCGAGCCACCGCGCCCGGCCCAATAATTAGGTTTAAGGTGACAAATGGCTGGGAAGGTGAGAGAGGAAGAGAGAGGAGATGAGAAAAAAGAAAGAATGGGGAAGAAGAAAGGGAGAGAGAGAAAAGACAGGGACAGAAATGTACTCTTTGCATTCAACCGTGGAGACAGATTTGGAAGGAGGCAGTACTTGCCTTGGTCCTGGGGCCAAAATTTATCTCCCTTTCTATGGAGAGCCTCCAGGACAGGACCCGGTGCCATTCATCTCTGAGTGTCTGCCAATAGCTGCTGGGTGAGGTTGAATGAATGGAGGAATCTGACTCAGCCCACATTCCCATAAATCTTTTCCTCCCAGGCTGAACATTTCTCTTCCTGCCATCTTCAGCAGCACCCAGGGAGATAGATCCCATCAAGCCCACTTCTGGGTCCGGGAAGGAAAGTTCAGGAACACAAGCACACATTGAGCTCAGGAAAAGGCATTTGTCTTGGGTGTTTATCCAACCCTGGGAACCATTCTTCTTTTAACAAGCTGCTGTTTGTATGGACTTTCTCCTTCTGTGGGATCAATAAAGATACTCCTTATTCAGGACTAAAAACAAAATGTTCCATGTAAAATAAAAGCAGGCTAGTGTTCAGTGGAACCTTCTGTGGCACACAGCACACAGTGAGGATCCAGAATAGGGTGGCCAGATAAAACACAAGTTGCTCAGTAAATTTGAATTTCAGAGAAACAGCAAACAACATTTAGTGTACATCTGTCCCAAAAATTGCACACAACATACTCATATTAACCAATTATTGGTTGCTTACTTGAAATTCTAACATTTAACTGGGTGTCCTGTATTTTTATTTGCCAAATCTGACAACCCTAATTAGGGAGACGTTCTCCCAACTGAGTGTGGGGCCTGCCCTGGATTAAGCTGGGTGTCTTTCCAGGTAACTCACCCAGGGAACATGTGCTAGATGCCTGCTACACCCATGGTGTCTTTCCAGCTCACTCACGGCTGTGCTAGGGCACAGAGGAGTTGGGATTAGACTTGCCTCTCACCCCAGTCTCTACACATACACACACACACACACACACACACACACACACACACACACACAAATACAAAAAGTTAATCGGTCATGGTGGTGCACACCTGTAGTCCCAGCTACTCAGGAGGCTGAAGTGGTAAAATCACCTAAGCCCAGAAAGGCAAGGTTGCAGTGAGCCGTGATTGCACCCACTGCACTCTAGCCTGGGCAATGAAATGACACCCTATCTCAAAAAAATAAATAGAATAAAATAAAAAACATACAGGAGTGGACAGCAACCAGTGAACTGAAAACTCAAAGAAGCAGTCAGGCAAACACTGGTTATGGGGAATTTCACCAGAAAACAAGCTCAACCAATGGTGACGGGGCATACTCTAGAAAAATTAGGAGATGACACTCATTAGACCGGAGGTTGATTTGAACAAAGCAACCTTTAAAAGACATTTTTGGAACAATCAAGGAAAATGGAATGTGAATTAGGTAACATATTTTATTGAGAAATTGTCATTAATTTTATTTGGTGTGGTCATGGGATTGTCATTATTATGCAGGAAAATGTCATTTTTAGAGACATATGCTGATATGTTTCAGGGTAAAATGTCATGGTGTTAGTGATTTTTTTGAAATTCAAATAAGAGGCAACACAAATTCATAAAAATGTGAATAATTTTTAAAACTAGATGATAGACATAATGGGTTAACTATGCTATTCTCTGTATTCTGTACATTTGAAAGTTTTCATAATAAAAATTAGAGGCTGCTTACCCACCCTGCCATCTTACAAATGACCACATGAGGGCAGCAGAGTATCAGGCTGAATGTGGGCTCAGGCTTTGAGAGGGAAATGCAGACGAGCAATCACCCCATTCATGCATAATTTATTTACTTCTTATCCTTTCTTCTAACCCATCATTTAGTGAGCACTCTGCAGGGTCCTATGCTGGGCCTATAGGGTACAAAATGTCGAATTCACCCAATCCGAGCTCCTGCAGCCACATGTTTAATTTATGTCTGTGTCTGGATGCCAAGGAAGGGGTGGTGACCAGAAACCTCTGTCCCGCTGAGTCTACCAGAAACACAGGTCTCTCTACGTTTGGCATCACGGGAGTTGAGACCTTGACCAATATGTTGGAAACAAAGAAATCAATGTGGGGAATGGAGAGAGCTGGCCACTCACGCTGTGTGAGTTACCTGCATTAGGGTTTACCACTTATCTACTATGATGTTGGTAAAGTTACTTTACCTCTGTGAACCTCACAGGACTAATAGTAGTTTATATCTTATAGCTTTCCTGTTGCAAGAGAATAAGATTGTCTATTAAAATTGCTTAGAACAGTGCCTAGCACATAGTAAGTGCTCAATGAATATATTTACCTATCTATATAGAGAAAATGGTGAATGTAGCTTTGGGACTGGGGCACTGGAATCACCACTCTCCAAAAGGCAAGATCACAATTATAGCAGCTACATTTCTTGAGGGTTCTCTGTGCCAGATGCTGTCCCAACAGCAAGCCTACAAGGCAGGGCTGTTACTGTCCCTACTTCAGAGATGAGAAAACAGAAGTGTTAAAGAAATTTCCTGAGGTCTTTCAATGGGAAAGGCAGGAAGCCAGGATATAAAACCCAGGCAGCCTGGCTTTGGAGTTCTCATTCATATCCACCAGGGTCGTTGTACTTCTTTTTGGGGATCGGTGCTGTGGAAAGACAAAACATTTACGTGGCGATAAGGATGCAGTCCTGCAGTCAACTGGGACCTGTGTACTCGGGAAGGGATGCGAGAATGTCCAACATCATGCTATGAATGTGTTTCTCAAGAAAGTCCTCTGCAGACTGGAGCTCTTGATAAGCTCGCTGGACTTTGCCTGCTCAGCATCTTCCTTTCCTCTCTTTCTCCCGCCTCCATCCCTCCCTCCCTTCTCTCTCTCTCTCTCCCCGCTCTCTCCTTTCTTTTCTTTTTCTTTCTCTCTCTCTCCT